GCCCCCTACAGGACACTCAGCAACCTGGGCGCTGTGCCATCAGAGAGACAGTTAACAGCACAGCACTGCGCTGCCCCCTACAGGACACTCAGCAACTTGGACACTGTGCCACCAGAGACGGTTAACAGCACAGGACTGCCCCCTGCAGGCCCCCCGCAGGCCCCTCCACGCCTGGGCGCCGTGGCGGTCCAGTCAGAGCGGGCGGGCGCCCTGACAGAGAGCACTGCGCACTTCACGGGCGGAGACCCGCAGCATCGTGTCCGGGCGGTCTGACCGAGGGTGCATGCGAGCGCAGTGCTGTTTTGTCTTGGCGATAAAAAAGCCCATTTGTAAACAACAAAAGGCGAAACTTAAGATCGCCGGGGCGCTGGTTTAGGTGCCTGTAGCAGACGTAATGCAAGTCTAAAACCAGTTAACATATTAACATTCTGAAAACAAACGGAGTGGGTCTGCGTGTCTGTCGGTCCGCCCCGTTAACGGAGGAACAGCACAGTCCAGAAACATCCGAATCTGAACACCAGCAGAGCGGAAGGAACCGGGAACCAGACCCTGGACATCTGTGGATCTCGGCCCCTAGCTAAAATCTACTCGTGGCTGTGGATGCCTTCTGCTTAAGTGGATTCATTTAAAAAGTGTTTCTACGGGTTTTAACGAAAGGCGGGGAACACAAAGCCTTCACTTCCGTCCGGCACCAGATAGGCCGGTTCTGCGAGCTCTGCCGAGTCCGTGTCTGTCAGCATTTCTGAAAGTGGGTTCGCACTTTTTTGTCCATTAACGGACTTCAGTGATTCATTACTGATCACGCAGAGGAGAACGACAATCGATGGTCAATAATATACAGTATATACATAAAACTTCGGCTCTGGAGTTGGCGCATCAGAGTGCAAACTTTGACCAGGAAGGTCTGCCACGGTATTCTTTTCCCTTTGCAGATTTAAAATGTTGGGGGGTAGCGGTTAGTCACTCCCTTGCTATAAGTACCACCGCTTGCGGACCGGTCTCGTCTCTCTCCGTCGCCCTCTCCTCCGATATAGAGCATCGCTCGTTCCGGCTAGTCTGGCTCTGCGGCGGAACACGACTGCACGACCCGATCAGAACCAAGCGCAGCCGAAACAGCGACACTGTAAAAACACATTTTGTACAATTCAAACACACTCAGACCTGCGTGTCCGCCGCCATCTTGCCGGTCTCGATCCAGGAAGGAATTGGCAAGCAACCACTTCCGGGTTATCGCGCTGTATCCCACGTGGAGTTATTAGCCGTGCTCGCTGTTTCTGATGGGATGTGGGTCAACTTGCCTCCTCCCGCTATGTTACAAATGTAAACCGACCTTATTTTCTTTTGTTTTGACAGTATTTTACTCCTCTATATTAGATTTTCAACCTGTTGTTTCATCTTATTCAGGTTTGTCCGCTGTCGGTAAGTGTCAAAACAAAAACAGACCCGAAAGTACAGTACACAAAAAGTTGTATTGCATTATACACATTATAAATATATTGCAAAAATCCCCAGCATATATTGTACAAAAAACAATTGGAAACAGGAAAAAAAAACGGATGTAAGAGTTTTATGTTTAGTCCAAAAACAGGTCAGTGTTGCCCCTGCCCAGACACACAGTGGATGAGTTGTACAGTCTTTGGCAGAAGGCAGGAATGACCTCCTGTAGCGCTCCCTGTCGCACCGTGGTTGGATCAGCCTATTGCGGAGCGTGCTCTTCATTCTCATAAGCATGTCATGGGGGTGGGAGACGTTGTCCATGATGGCCATTCATTTGGACACCATTCTCCTCTCAGCCACTACCTCCAGGGTGTCTAGATCAGACCTAATGACAGAACTGGCTCTTTTGATGAGGTTGTTCAGCCTGTTAGCATCCCCTGCTCTAATCCCAGAGCCCCAGCACACCACTTCATAGAAAATGGTACTCGCTACAACTGACTGATAGAACATATGGAGCATCTTACTACACACATTGAAGGACCTGATCCTCCTCAAGAAGTAGAGTTTATGTAGATGGTCTCAGTGTTCTTAGTCCATTCCAGTCTATCGTTGATGTGCACACCCAGGTACCTGTATGAGTCAGCTATCTCCATGCCACTCCATTGGATGCAGACCGGCGGGACCCTCTTCCTCCTGGGCATATGGGCTTATACAACCGACTCGTACCAGTAAAACCGGGCTAGAGACTCCTTTCCAGCTTATACATTGCTATCAAAGCTGTAAGGCCAAACAGTTGCTCACGTCTGCTGTGAATTTAGATATGCAAATCAGCACAGCAGCTGCACACCCCTGATTTAGATGGTTCTGCTTGTCGGTGCTGAGAAATGGTGAGGACCTAATAATATCAATTCTCCTAATTCTTCACACCAGGCAAGAGCTTTCTCAGAACACCAAAACCCACTATAACCTGGTTTCCACTCGAGAAACTCTGCTGCACAGGATGGTTCATGCCCTGCAAGCCCTATTGTGAATGTAGGGATTGCAGGACAGTTATCAGGTCTGTGTCACACTACCACAGGGGTTCCCAGCTCAACCCCTTTAACCTAAATTATGTGCCTCAGACCCCCCCTTGAGATTTTAACTAAATCAGACTTTTCAATAAATGAAGATAAATGCTACAGCAACCCTCTTAACAAGCTTCTTTTCACTTTGTAAAATATTACTATTACTACTGTTCTTTTTTTTTTATTACATTCTTATACTATTGAATTTGACATTGACGTGTCCATCACAACCTCGCCCACCCCTAGACTACAAGAACAGGTTCCTATTGATTATCTGCTTCTCCAGAGAAAACACTGTTTTGGATTGAAGTCTCCAGGAACAGTGGCAGAGGGCACACATCAGGATCTTCACACAATGAAGCCAGAAAACAGGCATCTTCTCTCCACAGTGCATCCTGCTGCCCCTCCCCACCTCTTTAACCAGTATTCATTTACCCCAGTGACTCCCAGTGTTCAGGGCAGCCCAACGGCACAGCAGTTAGCACTGTGGGGACCCTGGGATCAGTTCCAGAACTGGGGTGCCATCTGCATGGAGCTTGCATGGTCCCCATGTTCATAGGGGTGTCCCCCCAGTCCACATACTAGTAGGTGACTGGCGCTTGGGAAGATCAGCCCTGGCGTTTGCATTGGTCCTGCAGTGGTCCAGCCTCCTGGCCAGGGTGGCTCCAGCATCGCACATGGTGCTTGAGGGCACAGGCTCCAGCTCCCCTGCTACCCTGACTTGGGAGGTTAGGAAATGGATGGACCAACTCCAGGAGTCTCCTGGAGACTTATTGCAGGCACACTTTACTATATTTGGGCCTTTCCCTTAAATTTCTACCCATTTCATTTCAGTTGCAAATTGCCGTGAACCCCACCTCATTCAGGGTGGAAACCTCATAGCACCCCCCTGATGAATTAACTCAAGGCGTCCATCCCTCCTGGAGAGGCGGGGTCAGACCACCTTTGAGCCATCAGTTTAGAACATGCAGGCTGCGATCAAATTAGCTTTTTGGTTTAATCAGGAATGGATGAGCATCACTTGCTAACATACATTTCAAACCATTGCTGAGCTACTGAATCAATGATCCAGTAGTGTCAAGACCAATCATGTGGCCTAAACTTTCAACTCGACCTTTGTTTGGTCCATGATTCAACCTGGTTTTTATCACCCGAGAAGCACTGCTGCACAGAACAGTTCATGCCCTTTGCAGCCTTTGAATGGTGATGCAGATGCCTACTTGTACCGAATCAGTGTCCTGCTTCAGTTGTCAGAAGTTGAGGAACAGATCACGGGCAGAACTGGTTCAATGCTGGAACCAGGGTTCCCACCCTGTCCCAGAACCGAAACCGCAGAAAGGATCCGAGTGCATCAATAACACAGGACATGAGACAGCGGTAGAGTCTTTCGTTTTTATTTTGCTGTTCTTGCTGCAACAGCAGGGCCAGGGCGGGGGTCTAGTCGAACAGCCCGAAGCCCATGTCCTCATCGGACTCCTCCGACTCCTCCTTCACCTCCTCCTTGACAGCCGCCGGGGCAGCCGCAGCGCTCTCAGCTGCCACAGGGGCGGCGGTGGCGGCAGCGAAGGCAGAGGGGTCGGCCAGGAACTCCTTCACCTGTGCAGGGAGGGGGGACAGAGAAGAGAGACGGGGTCACACCCAGGAACTTCGCTCCAGCAGAGCTGCGGAGAACCCGCCTCGGTAACCGTAACCCCCCAAATCCAGCCTCTGCAGTCCAGTGCTGAAATATGTCCCTACATTCTACATCCTCATTTTACCCAATTCTAGGAAAGACGGGAAGAGCCGGAATGTGGGACGGCAGGATCCAACCTGAGGGGAATCCCATCCTCTCCTGCCTGCCCTCCAAACCCAACTGCCTTGCCCATCCCTAAAGCCTAAGGAAACGCACGATCCTCCGAACCGACACGGACAGAGCCGGAGGATCCGAGTGTCCGAGACCAAGCGTCCCTGCCAGCCCTGGAGTGCAGGCGGACAGGGATAGTAGGGGGAACGACAGCAGGGCACCGCGCGGCCGGGCTGTAACAGATCCTGCGGACCACCTTACGTCAACACCCACTTCCCCAGTGTCGCCGACACGGACTACACGGTACGGCGACTTGTACCGAAGACTTCGCTTCCCCAAGACAGTGCTCGGAAGGGGCAAGCGATGGGCGCAGAACGTACCTTGTCAGCCAAGGGGAAGGAGTAGTCCGTCTCCACGGCAACGGCGAGGACCCTCTTGTAGCCGTTGATGATGGAGTGGGGGATGGACGCCACCGTGGGGTAGCCGATCTGCAGGCACACGCTGGCCACATTCCTCACGCCCTGCGGAAGAGGCACGCGGTCAGCACCGGCGCCGAGCCACAGCGCCCCCCTGTAGCCCACTGGGCCGGCCGCGCCAGCGAAGAGCCCCCCCCCCTCACCTCCAGGAAGCGCTGCTGCAGGGCGTCCTCGGTGATGTCCAGCACCTCGGGGCTGTACACGCTGCCGTTGTCGTACACCTGCTGGATGATCAGCCCGAAGGAGAAGGGCGAGATGTTCAGCATGTTGAGCAGGGTGGCCTCGCTGGCGCCCACCTTGTCTCCCGTCTTGATCAGCTGCACGTCGCTCTGGAGGGGAGACAGACCGGAGAGACGCGTCAGCACCTTCGCCGCGCCCTGCTCCCCGGGCTTCAGGAAAGCGCTGAGCCTCCGCCCAGCGCAAGGCATCTCAGGGGTTCTGTCCTCAATACAGATCTGGATCTGGAATTCCTGGATCAAGACCAGCCTGCTCCGGTCCAGCTTCACTGCTCCTCTGTCAAGGAAAGCCTTTCCTCGGATTTGTCAGGAGAAATTTCTTTTACTCGCTTCTCAGCTCAAAACCCACCTTTTAACCAAGGACTATCTCTGATTCCCCTACATTCTTTCTGCATCAACCTGTATGTTTTCTTTTACCTTTTATTATACTTTACTTTTCACCTTATCACTAGGTACAGCATCCTTGGGCTGGAAAGGTGCTTTATAAATAAAAACACACAATTATCACTGTTCATTCAGCATCCCCCCTTCTCCAGTGCCAAAGGCTCCATTCAGGCCTGTTGCACACCTTGCCCATAGCGAACATCACCATGTTCACAAGTGTGCTGAAAACACGCTCACCACCAACCCCTGGGGCTGGAACTTAATCAGGAGGCTGCAGCTTACAGTTAAGAGGACAAGTTACTGTCCATTACAGTTTTCACTGTAGTAAATCCACATGCCTCCCAAGAATGAAGCACTATTGTATACAACACAAGACCATCTCTAAATCCCTGTAATCACAGCAACTGTAAGCTTATGCCTGCACTTTCTGTGGAACACAGCAGGGACTCGAAGCACTGATGATCTCGCATCCATAAAGAGGGGTTTAAAATGCTTCTTGTAGCAACAATAAATCCTTGTTATTCTGACAATGCGCAGACAGCAGGTAGCCTAGGAATTATTAAAATAAACAACTTTTTCAGAAAGGCAAGCATAGAAGGTCATCCAGTTGCTGGATGAGGGGAGCTGTGAGAATTGTAACTTATCTGGCTAAAAAGAGAGCTCAGCCAGGCACAACCGACAGAGAGAAGAGAAACCCTTTCTTCCTCTCATGCTTTTGTGCCTGGACTTCAGCTGATCATCAGGCCTGGTGTCCTGGAGAGAGAGGGGCTCCCTCACGAGTTCGAGCGGTTATTAGCACTGCAGGGGTACAGGAAGCTGCAGCTCAGAGCCCTGTGAGCCCGCCCTCGTGTCTCACCAGGATCTCAATGGTTCCTCTGGAGATCTTGGTGGTGATGCCCAGGGCCTGGAAGAAGGAGGTTTTCTCGGGTCCCAGTCCGGTGTTCTGGGCCGGAACGGTCACATCGCAGGGGGCGATGGCTCCAGCTCGGGCCGCGGCCGGCACCTGACCGGAGACGCCAAGAACAAGGTTAACGAGCTACCGGCACACCGAGGGAGGCCGAGCCGGAACGGCGGGCGGCGAGTGTCCGAGACCAAGCGTCCCTGCCGGCCCTGGAGTGCAGGCGGACAGGGATAGTAGGAAGGGATAGTAGGAAACGAGCTGATGTGCGCAGGGGGAACGACAGCAGGGCACCGCGCGGCCGGGCTGTAACAGATCCTGCTCCCGACGCGGGCAGGCCGCGCGACCCGGCGCTCACCTTGTTGGCCAGCAGCATGTCCCGGATCTCCGTCAGGTCCTCCTTGGTGAACACGAACCCCACGTTCCCGCGGATGTGCGGCAGCAGCCTGCGGACACACGAGACGTCTCTGACGTTGCCCCTCACCCGAAACACCCAACCACAGCACTGCCACGCTGGCGCGGCACCAGGGCCTCCTGAAGGCCAGGGCCAGGCGGAGCTCATCCCGCTGGCGAGCTGGGCCATACGCGGGGAACGTCCCGGGGTTTGGGCCGGTGGGAAGGATCTGCCCAGATGGCAGCTGTTCGATCATTCCTACCATCTCACAAACGCCTCCCCAGCTCCGTTTGGGAGCAGGCAAGGAGCCCAGGTCTGGTTCTCTTTCAAGGGGAGCAGCAGCCCTACTGCTGTATTTCAGGGTCAGAAAGAACCAGCCACTGATGAGAGCATTTCAAACCCCATCACAAAATAGACTCAATCTCCAGGTCTGCACAGCGCCGTGTTCTGCAATTCAGAACAAGGCAACAAAACTTCCAGTGAGGTGTTGCAGCCCTGTGACACTAAACAAGCAGGCTGGTGAATACATCTCTTTTAATCCAATAGAAATATCGAACTCAATTTAAAGATGGTTTGGGCAAAGATGACTTACTCTGCATACAGATCACGTGAGAACATTTCTGCAGTGAGATGTCTGCTGCACAACCTGCACTTATTTGCTTTACAGTGACTAGAGAGCAGGAAGGGCCACTTCACATCGCAGTTCTTTTGAACTCTCGCCCGCGGTGAGACCAGGGGCTTTCAACAACATGGCGACTCACGGTACTTTCCCCAGGTTCATGATATTGTGCTCAATTCAAAATCTGGATCTTTCTATACTGTCAGTGAATTTGTTACAGAGATAACAACCGGTCTGGGAAATCGGGACTGTGGTTCCCCTTTAAGCCTGATCAGGTGCAGTCCGGTCTCTCACCCTCACACCGGAGACGGGACCGGACCACTCACTTCTCCAGGGAGGGGTTGTTCTCCAGGTGCCCACGGATGGCCTTGCGCATCATGGTGTTCTTGCCCATCAGCACCACGGCCTTCCCCCGCAGGGACAGGCGGATGGTCTGCATCTGCTTGGAGCCCACATTGTCGGCGCCCACGATGAAGCACTTGGGGTAGTCATCCAGCAGTTGCTGCAGGGGACAGGGAGAGCCCAGGGCATCCTGTGTGAGTCCGGACTCTTCCCCCAGGCCAGTACAGCAAGAGCCTAGCCCCAGCTGCGGAGGAGCCCCACCCTGACCCTAACCACCCACCTGGGGCAGGTCTGCAGACAGCTACAGGCTTGCCACACACAGTACAGTGGAAAAGCTTACTGCCATGTGTCCATGGACACTGGAAGTCTTACTCACTGATCTCTTGGGACACAGCACAGCAGACAACACCACACAATGCAGACAGCACATTACAAACAACGTGAAGACGTGCATCACGTCTGAGGCAGGCAGGACAAGCCAGAAGAGCTTTCCGACTCAGGGGTGCTGATGCTCAGTCCCAGCAAACTCTAATGCAGCTCAGTGCCCCTCCATCTGGTTCCCAGGATCTGCCAGCTGCCCAGCACCCCAGAGGAAAGCCCTGCTCCTGCAGAGACCCCATTACTGCCCCCCATCAGTGGGGAAAACCACCCTGTGCCACACCAACAGTCAGTCAGCCTGCCCACTCGGTGTGTGGAGGAGCCCAGAGGGTTTGTGGGAGCTGGGCTCCTGTACAGCACTGAACCAGACCAAACCCTAACCCACCCCCCCATACCCACAGCCCGGAGAGTAGAGAGGCGACTTACGATGATTTTCATGAAGTAGTTGGACTTCCACGTAGCCCTGTCTTCCCTGGGCATCTTGGCTGTGCTCTCAGGGATTGCCAAACGACTGGTTTAAAGACAAGGTGTCAACTGGACAGGGAGAGAGAGAGGAGAGAGCACAGCGCGTCAGACACGGCAGAAACACCAAGCTGCGGCTCAGCTCAATCTGAAAACCACACTTTTACCTTACCACGATATACGACAGTCTGTAATAAATTTAATGATATTAATATATGACATTAATACATATTAATAGCACGCTAAACTAACGCCTCACAGAGGAGAGCTAAAAAAGGCAAACATCACACAAAATTACCAGACTTTAAATATCTCTATTATGACCACCGTTACAAGTAGGTACTTCAAAAGCCGAGTTATTTTCAGCGGTTTATGACACCGCAGAGAAAAGGACTTTTTCTAAAGTCAGTAACGCTTCTTGGACGCCCGGAGAGCAAGCGGGCCGCTACTGTCGGCATCATCTTGTTACAACAAAAACTAACCGCCTCAGACACGCAGCTCAACCACATGCCCGCTGCGACTGCACACTGAGTGATTACACGCAGATCGCGGCCCGACTGCTCGCTGAAACGAGGCGCCACGGAAGGCGCACATGGCGACCCGAGCCCGAGGCGGCATGACGCCGCACAGGCCGCGTCCGCGCCCGCCGCCTGGACCGAGGGACAGGGGCAGCCCTGCAGCCCTGCAGCGCAACGAGCGCTCAAGAGCGCACACACCACGACAAATGGTCGATCAAAACCCCTTTTTATCCACGTCGAAGCCGCGCGAAAGCGACCGGCCATTACCTCACGGTCAGGACTCCGTGAAAGAAAGAGGAAATTACGTTCAGGAGCAACTGCTTTATACTAGAACCGCCAGCCAATGGAAACCGGGGAAGGAGGAGGTGCAGGCAAGATGATTGGCTGATCGTCACGTCAATCACTCGCAAAGCCTCCGGTACGGGAGACGGCGAAGAAGCGGGGGAAATGACGTCAGCGACCCGACCAGGAAATCGTCATCGCTAATGGCCGTGCGATTTTGTAGTCTTTTGTTCGCCATCTTATAAAACAGAAACTCACCGTTGCTGAACTCATTCAAAACTTGAAAAAGAACAAGGCAAAAACCACCTTGTTGGCTACACAAATGTAAATTTATTGTGTTTTATAATTGATTTATAATTATCTCTGGCAGTCTATTGCTTTGTTGTGTTCATTTATCTCTTCTGGATATATTTTCTTTTTTGTTATAAATAAAAGTGTGGAAAAATAGTCTTTGCGAGCCTTAAACAAAGGCTTATCAAATTTAGAATAATAATTACCTACACTTCTATAGTGCTTTTCTGGACACTCCACCCAAAGCGCTTTACAGGTAATGGGGATCCCCTCCACCAACACCAGTGTGCAGCCCCACCTGGATGATGCGACGGCAGCCATAGTGCGCCAGAACGCTCCCCACACACCAGCTCTCAGTGGGGAGGAGAGCAGAGTAATGAAGCCAGTTCATAGAGGGGGATTATTAGGTGGCCATTGTTATGACCTTAAAAAGACATCTATGGTCCCACCAAAAGTCGCAACACAAAAGAACGCCCGAGAGATCGGACATCCCCAAGAAAACAAATCAACTTTATGATACCAAAAAACCCAGGGAGGCAGGGGTGCACATCTGTATTCCAACTGGGAGGAGAAAGACCGAAAGAAAAACAAAACCCAGACAAACCGACTAAAAAAACAACTAGATAAGATAGAACTGGAAAAAAAAGGTGGTTGTGCCTAACAATGCGGCCATACAAAAAAAAGCCTTCCGCATCCTACTCATATCTATCCTTTCAAATGTTTCAGCTTCATTTGCTTTATATCTTAATTGGCAGCACCAGGAGAAAACAATTAGGGAACAAAAAACAGCTCTCCAGCTGAGGACCGTAACAGCCATGACTGCTAAAGGCCAGGGAGAGATTTGGCCAGGACACTGGGGTAACACCCCTACTCTTTTCAAGAAATGCCCTGGGATTTTTAAATGACCAGGACATCAGTTTTACATCTCATCTGATGGACAGCTCTTTTTTTACAGTACAGTGTCCTTGTCACTATAATGGGGCATTAGGACCCACACAGACCGCAGGGTGAGCGCCCCCTGCTGGCCCCACTAACACCTCTTCCACCAGCAGCCTTAGCTTCCCCAGGAGTCTACCCTCCAGGTACTGGCCAGGCTCACCCTGCTGGGCTCCCGTGGGCTGCCAGCTGCAGCATGAATAAGCTGCTGGCTTTATACGTTTCTTACCATTATCTACTCTATATTTCTTTCTTTTACCGATAAGTTTAAATCCATTTTTTCTATAAGCAGCATTCACACATTTTTCATGAATCTGGAGGGAAGTACTTGATTCACTCGGTTAGAGAGCAAGGCAGTTGAACAGGTGAGAACTGGGTAGAAGTGACAGAGGACTCAGCAGAGCTGCAGAAGTGTTACTCCTACTCTCCCCACCATTTATCCTCGAGCCTCTCGTTTAATCCAACTCACTTGTTTCTGGACATAAGCCAGCGTATTGGTTCGGTAACATCACTTGGCAGCTTGTTCCACACTCCCACTACCCTTTGTGTAAAGTGCCTCTTGTTCTTAGCTTTTAAGTGAACTTTACAGTTTCCTCCTCTGCCCTCTGGTTCGTTTCCATGTTCATTCCGAGATTCTTCTGTTGGGAACACAGATCAGCCTAGAGGCTAAGGAGTTGACAACACGTACAAGCAAATAAGGAAATATTTTCTGGACGTAGCCAGGAGGTACACCGCTCAGTCTAATGCACTGGCAAAGTGATCATCTCAATGGAGGTGAATCATGGGGATAAACCAGCACAGGGAATACTTTAACCCTCTTCCCCAGCAGTACTGACCTGGTGGCACCCAG